ACTTGCCACAGGCAACTTGCTATGGTACAAATCACTGCAGGATAACAATTACACTAATATCAAAGAAATGATGGAATAGAATCACAGCAATCTGCTGTTCAAGGGGCTTCCCTTGAAGAATAATTGGAATCTACAGTACAATGAAGTGGCACGTAAAGTTCGGGGGCCCTCTAAAGGGACACACATAACACCACTGTTGTATGAGCTGCATTAAGTATCTAAGAAGCCATCTCAGTCCTATGGAATTAGCCCACCACACATGCACCAGCAGAGTGCTGTGGAGTCCATCTGCTAAGGAATTTTGGCAGGAAGGTTAAGGAGAAAAGCCTTTTTCTCTGGGGCCATGGCCATGTGGAGCACTCTTATCACTAAAGATGAGAACTGTTCCCACTGTTTTTGTCTCCTGGATGGGCATCAAAAACTTGGTTCTCCTGGTTTGCCTATGGCTCCAAAAGGGGCTCTTGAGGGTAGAGATGGTTTACAGGGTAAGAAGATCTCATCCTCTTACCATCTGTCTCTTTTTTTTCAATTTCTTATATAATTAAATAATAATAATTAGTTTTCGATTTATCTTTCATTTTTTCTAAGCCAACTGGAGTCACTTTATTGAGCAGATGGGTGAAATATAAATTTCATAAATAAGTGAATAAAAATTAAACCATCATTATTTTTCATCTTCTTTTCAAGTACCAGAATGATCACTAATGTTTCCCTTCTTATTTTACTTATTGGATAGACCTTACCCATTTCAGTGTGTACTGAGAGCTGCCCCCCTGGTACTTTCAAAAGAAAACAGGAGGCAAAGCCATTTTGCTGCTATGATTGTCATCCATGTCCCAAAGAGAAAATGTCAAGCCAGAAAGGTAAGAGGCATTATGAATCAAGTTACATTATGATTCTACAGGAAGGTGAGTTGTATTTGTTATAGTTATATTCTTTCATCTGTTGGCAGAATGTGGTCTCACCCAAAAATAATTGGAAGACCTCAGGCAAAGAATTAAGGATTTAAAATGGGTTCTGGGTTAACAAACCTCCCCAAGCAATTAATATAATTGATAAAAATAATATTGAAAGTCTCAATTTCTGTTACTTTAGCATAAGCTTCACATTTCTAGAATTGTGCATTATTCTCTCTCTCAATATCTGTTTCAATCAATAGATGGAAAAATGTTGATGAGCTCATTCCTTAAAAACACAATGCAATTCTTAAACTAGAGAAATTTTCACTAAATCTACATAATTGAACATTAATAAATTACTAACATTAAATAGAAATCTTTAAAAGAGAATTGCCATGTTAAAAAACAAACACGAAAAAATCAGATTGGCAATGTCAGTGCCAGTCTTGCTTTTAAGAAAGGCAAATCAAAAGCCTCTGTCATAATAATATTCAAATAGAAATTTAAATATAGACGCACATGCATGTATATGTATTTAATACAGATATATTTAACTTCCAGACATGGATGACTGTTCCAAATGTCCAGAAGACCAATATCCAAACAAGGACCAGGATTCATGTCTTCTAAAAAGAATATCATTCTTATCCTATGAGGAACCAATGGGACTAAGTCTAGTCATTCTGACAATTTTCTTTGTTCTTTGCACAACTTTGGTACTCGCAACATTTCTGAAATATCACCACACTCCCATTGTCAAGGCCAATAACCGAAACCTCACTTACATTCTACTCATCTCCCTCCTCCTCTGCTTCCTTTGCTCAATGCAATTCCTTTTTGCACCAGGCAATATAATATGTCTCCTCAGACAAATTAGCTTTGGCATCATCTTCTCAGTGGCTGTGTCTTCTGTGCTGGCAAAAACTATTATTGTAGTTCTGGCTTTCATGGCCACCAAGCCAGGATCAAAGATGAGGAACTGGGTGGGAAGAGGACTGGCCACCTCCATTGTTGTTTCTGGTTCCCTGATTCAAGTAGGCATCTGTACAGTGTGGCTATTCACATTTCCGCCTTTCCCTAACATTGATACCTATTCTGAAATGGAGGAAATCATTCTACAGTGTAATGAAGGCTCAGCTGTTATGTTTTACTGTGTCCTAGGCTACATGGGCTTTCTGGCAGCTGCAAGTTTCACAGTAGCTTTTTTCTCCAGGAATCTCCCCAGCAGTTTCAATGAGGCCAAATGCCTTACATTCAGCATGCTGATCTTCTGCACTGTGTGGATCTCTTATGTTCCATCCTACCTGAGCACCAAAGGCAAATTCATGGTGGCTGTGGAGGTTTTCTCCATTTTGGCCTCCAGTGCAGGATTGCTTGTATGCATATATTTTCCCAAATGTTACATAATTATTTGTAGACCAGAGCTAAATAACAGGGAGCAACTTATTAAGAGAAGAAACTTGTGATATTTGACCTAAACTTATCTATAATTATTTCTCTATTTTAGAAATATTTGTTTAAAACTGTAGTAAATTTATCAGTGATAAATCATTCGAAAGAAAGATTTTGGTAGTGTCTTTCTATTTTTCTTTGTTGATTTCTGCATTTTATAATCCAATTGATCATTAATTATTCCATTGAAATCTCCTATCATACAAATATTAGCATAGTAGAGTTCAATTATTTTCATATATGTAATTTCCTGTAAAATTCTTCTTGATTATCATTTGGAGCATAAATTGTGATTAAAAGTGTTTTTACATTACTGTCCATTATTTCCACCATCAAAATCCTTCCATCGTCATCTGTATTAATTGGTTCTGCCAGAATTGTATCTTTAATATATAAGACAACACCTCTTTTTTTTTACATTGTATCAACAATGTAAATAATTTCCCTAGCCTTTTTTGTTTCAATATATATTCATGTTGTTTTTTAATATGTACTTCTTGTAGGCAGATTATATCAAACTTTAATTTCTCTAATTTATGAAATACTTTTCTTCTTTTAGTAGCTAAATTAAATCCATTTATGTTATTCGTAATCAATTTTCTTTCATCCATATTAAGCTTTGTAAGGGGGATTATTGCTCTAGTGGATCTTAGTTCTCATTGCTCTCTGGGTACACCACCTACTGCACCTTCTTCTTTTTCTTTTTAAATTACTGCTATACACTCCTCTTGAAATTCGATTAGCGACTCTTCTTTTCTTGTATCTTCCTCCTTTCCTCTAAGATATTCTAAGTAGAATAACTCAGCCTTTTCAACTATGTCGATTCTGTGTCTTTGTTCCTGCCAGGTGAACAAGAGGCCTTCTGGTATCAGCCATCTGTAATTTACTCCTCTTTTAAGTAATTCTTTAGTCAAAAATAAGTATTCTCTTCTCATCTCTCTTACTCTTTTTGGTACCTGTTTCAGCACCACAATTTCTTTGTCTTTGTACTTTAAGGTTTTCTCTCTTGCCACCTGAGGTATCTGTGTTTTAATAAGTTTCTTAGTAAATCTGATGTGAACTTCTCTTGGTAACTTGTTTCTCATTGCATATCTTGTATAGACACGGAACACTTCATCCATCCCATCCATCATCTTCACTTTGGTTATCTCTAATGCTTCTGCCAGTATTTCTGTCATTATTTCAGCAAGGTTTTCACCTTTTTCTTCTACATTTTAAAATCTCAGGTAGAATTCTAACCAATCGGTATCCCATCCTAATGGTCCACTCCTGCCCTTTTCAACTTCACTCAATCGAGTATCAATATCTCCAATTTTCTTATCTCTTTGTATATCTTCTTCTTAGATGTTCTTAAAAATGTCCTCATATTTCATCATCATCTGTTGAATATTCTCTACTTTCTCATCTGTCTTTTCAGTTCTTTGCTCAATGTTCTCTGTTCTCTTTTCAATCTTCTGGATTCCTTGCATAATCATCTGCAGTGTCATTTCCTTCTCTTTCTCCTCTTGTAACATTGTCTGTATTGATTGCTGTTCTCCAGATGGTGAATAGGAAGCTATTGGTATTGAAGAAGCTGGAGTTGCTGTCTTTCTGTTCATCTTGTGATACTTAGCTATAAAAAAGGAGAGAGGAAAGAAAAAAAGGGGGGGGGAGAGAACGAAATCAAGCAGCTGCCACTCCAAAAGATAAAAAGAAGGAGGAAAATCTTCAGGCACTTGTATATCTTAATCCAATTGGTTCCAGTAATATGCAAAAAGAAAAGGGAAGATGTGGGGAAAAAGGGATAAAAAGGATATTTAAAAAAAAAAAGAGGATGAGGGGAAGGAGGAAAAAAAAGTTTAAAAAATGATAGTCTATGTATAAAAAAAGGAAGCAGAAAAAAATATATTCTAGTTCTTGGGTTAAAAGGATAAAACCCAAACATAAAAATCCAACTAGAGAGGAAGTCAAAAAAGAAAATAAGAAATAGCAAACAATTCTAACAAAAAGCAAGCCACTGCCACTAAATATCCAAGGCTCTTTAGTACATCAACTCAGACTTTACAGTTCCAGTATTTTCAAGGTCATTACAATCTTTTTTCTTTCAACTTCAACTCCATACTCCAGCTATCTATAGTTTCACAGATCAGTACCTGTATAAACAATCTGCCATGCTCATCCCACTATCTTTTTCAGTGCAAAGCTCAGAGTCCTTGAGTATAACACCAAAACACAAACAAGTAAGAGAGAAAAGAAAACAATATATCCAAGCCTCTAGATGGCAGTGCTACTTATTTTTCTTCACTTTCACTTCCCCTCATAAATCCAAAGCCAGGAACAGAAAAAAAGTATTTTTTTTAAAAAAATATATCTAAAATTAGAAAGAAGAGTCTAAATCAAAGCACACTTTCAAGAAGTTTGTTAGAAAAATAAATTTTTTTAGAAAGACCAGTTTAGTTTAAAATTGAGAAGCTTTGCCAAATTCCAAGCTCCAATAAAAAGGGGGAAAAAACCCTTCAGTTTAACTAGCTTAATCTCACTGCTTGAACTCTTTTCTCTTCACTTTTAATTTCACTTTAAGACTTTTAGGGTGTTCTCTACAAAAAACAATAAGTAAAAGTTCATCTCACCAAGCTGACACACTTTCTTCCGAACTCTTCCATTCCGGAGCTGTCCCAGCTTCAGCAGCTGCCAATCTGCTGCCTCTCCGCTGGCAGCAAAAAGGGCTTCTCCTGGATCGTCCAGGGAATTTGCGGTGTCCCTGGGTTCAGCAGAACATTCCCTTATCAGTCACTATCTCTAAGGGACGGTTTAAGTCCAGAGGGACCATCTAACAGCGGGGATATCGACAACGATCTTGGACCATCAAGATTGCGCATCATACAACTGCGACACCAGCTCCTCCCTCTCCAATTTATCAGTGATTTTGAAGAGATGAAAATGTTTTGGTGAGTTTCTGACACAGGAGCAACGCTCAATGAAATTATCCCTCATTTAGATTTTACTGAAAATCTGAGTTATTATGGGGCCATAATTCTTTTTAATTTTGCAGGTTTGAATTTGAGGATCAATTAGTTTGTTTCATGCTGCTTAAATAATTATGATTTAATTTGAGAGAGAGAGAGAGAGAGAAGTTAAGAAATTATACACTTATTTCACATAAATAATACTAACCCTACCAGGTTCAATATTAAGAACTTCGATACTAAAAACATATTGAAGCATTCATCCCTTATACTAAGAATGATGGATAAGACATTACCAGTTTCACCAGAAATGAACTGCCATTGTACTAAACAAATGCAGCAAACCTTCTAATTCCAATGTTAATGTTAATTATAAATTATTTGGTGAGTTTTCATTATAGAAGCAAAGCCTTGTGAAATTAGCCTTCATTTATTAAAATGGAGAAACCAACCAATTAAGAGAGGATAAGAAAATCTATTTAAGATTGCAACCTGGATTTTCAGAAAAAAAATGTTTTAAGTTATTTATTTTAAAAAACAGTTTTTTCCCCTAGTCTGTAAAGTGAAAGCTTAAAAATGTGCTTTCTTTTCTGATACAAAAAAAAAAAAAAAAAAGAGTGGTGGGAACTCCTCTAAAGCAGGGGTCGCCAACCTTTTGGATTTCAGGGACCACCAAACTCATAATTTTAGATCCCAGGGACCACACACTGGTTCTGTGGGCATGGCCTAATTTGTGGGTGTGGCTTTGTGGTCATGTGACTGGCTTGGACATGGCTTGTATGTAAATATTATAAATATTTATATAAATATTGATTTTTTTTATAAAAAAAGAGCAACTTTTACCCAAAATCAGGCAAAGCAGGCAGGCAGATTGAGTTGCTCACAGAATCACAGATTCATTCAGAATTCTATCTGCCATTGGCTAGCTCAGTCTGTCACATAAAATTTGCTTGCAAGCAAACTCACAAAATTAACTCAAAACACACCATGCATGTAAATATTGAATTTTTTATTGAAAAAAAGAACAACTTTCATCCTAAATCAGGCAAAGCAGGCAGATTGAGTTGCTCACAGAATCATTCAGTTATCTATCTATCTGCCATCAGCTAGCTTAGTCTCTCAAATTTGCTTGCTGTGAATATCCACTGAATTTGCTTGCAAGCAAACCTTCAGTCCTAAGGGAAGTTCGGCTGTGCTTAGCTAGAAAGCAAGAAATCCAACCATTTCCTGCTTCCTAGCTAATCTAAATCTCCCAGCAGAGCAGAACAGATGATCGTCAGAGGAAGGAAAAATAGCAACTTATCAGACAAGTTTGCTGGGTAAGGAGTGAGTGGGTGGGGAGGGTTCCTGCGGGCCATGTGGGCTGAGCAGCCTTGTGTTTCTACGTAGCCTGGATTAATTGCTTTGGAGGGGTGCTCTGGGGGTGAGATTTCTCTGTGGGCCACCAAAATTTTCTCATGGCCCACCACTGGGCAACTGCTGCTTTAAACTGTGCTAATTTTGCAGGGTTTTAGATGAAAGCATCAATGTTCTCACTGAAAAACTTATTTCAAACCAAAGCAAGTGGTTTTTTAGTACTTGTCATTTTTAGTACTTGTTTCCCTTCCCAGAAACAATTAATGATGAGACATATCATATCACTTATATCAACATATCACTTCATTTAGCAGAAATAGCAGGGATGAGAGATAATACAGCATCATTAAACTGTATTGTAGAAATTTGTTAAGGTATTGATTTAATAGCTCTCCAGACTGATGTAAGGCTGCTGTAAGGCTTATGCAATGAGGATGAATCAGCAAGGTAATTGCCACTTTAAGACTGAGGATGGGTCCCACAGGCATTCAATACCATCATTCCAGACATTCTTCCAGCTAAACTAAACCAGCTAGCAGTACATGCAAATGATACAACAGTGATTGGTCTCATTTGACACAACGATAAATCCTCAGACATGCTGGAGATTGTACAACTTCCCTCATGGTGTGACTGGAACAATCTGGAACTGAACACACTCAAAACTGTAGAAATGATGGTAGACTTCAGGAGAAACCCTCCCATACTACCAC